CTCTCGACGCCGCCTCCACAAGTCGCTGGCACAGCCGGATCCGGAGGCGACACTGCGGGATCCGCGATCCAAGTCGACAGTGACGGCGGATCGGGTAGCGATGGTGGGAGGGGGTCACCTCGTGGTGGCGGACTCCTTGGATCTGGCGGAGGGGGGGTACTCCACAAGGTATGTGTGCGCGTATCCTCATTGTTTCGATTGAAGTTACAAGTAAATCTTATTATTTGAAACAGGCTTTAAATGTCATCGAGACTGGGTCAACGGAAACGTGGGATCGCTGTTTTGGACGGCTACTTCTGCTGTTACTTGACGCTGCTACGGATAACAATCTGTATGCATTGAAGGTTCTACAACGGTTAGTGGAAGCACAGCCTTCTCGAGCGCAGGTATTTTTCGAGCTGCTTCTTCAGCGTTTGATTGGTGCGATGGTAGATCAAGTTGACGTGGTAAGTTTTTCGGGGCCGAGTGACAAAGGTGCTGCTATTGGGGTCTAACTAACTCATCATCTGTCAATGAAACAGGCTCGCCACTTGATCGAGCGTATTCTTCGTGATCTCATAGTCTCTGCGAGTGACTACAAACAGACGCTGTCCGTCCTGATTCAATGGGATTCCGACAGTGAGCCGCCGACACTGCAAGTGGTACTGCGGCTTATCAAGGTGTGCTTCGAAAACTGCGAGCGCGGTAATCACCAGGAGTCAGCATTTCTGCTCAAGCACGACGTGGCCGCTCGTCTTATGGGCGTACTGACGCGACGTCTCGACCATGCGAGCTCTAGCGTTCGCAAGAACGCGGTGGACTGCCTGGTGGCGTTTCATTTTGCGATGAAAGAAGACAGCTCTATTGTACCCAAGTATCTCGCCACCGAGTTGGACGACACGCGGCGTCGGCTTGTGGAGATCTTCATCGACCGCGCCAAGACGGAGCGACACCGCATAGGCTTGACGTCGACATGAGTTACTTCTACACCACGCATAGTATTCCTTCTCCGTTTTCTAGTTTTGCGACTGCATATGGAGTCGTAAACGACTGCATTGCATATATTTGCAACTGTAGGGAAACTGAACATTTTGCATTGTCCAGCTTTGACCGGTATTCGTGGGCTTAATCGGTATTTGAGGCAAATGTTCCGGATCGTGATCTTCCGGTCGAAGAACTCGACGTCGATGAAGTCGCGCACGGTCTTGAGCGTGTCGTGCGCGTAGAAAATGTGGTCGAGACGAGTGCCGTTGTGCAGGTGGAACTTGATCACCGCCGTCTTGTAGTCTGCGCCTGGCGGCGGCGTGCGCGACTTTGGGCCGTCAGCGATATGAGAGCGTTTGGCTTCAATCTCAGCCTTGTACTGCTCTTCTCGACGCGCGTTCTCCTCGTCTTGACGTCGCGCTTCTTCTTCTGCACGTCGCTCCTCTTCTTCCTCCCGCAATCGCTCCTTCTCTTCCCGTTCGGCCTGTTCACGAGCCTCTTGCTCACGACGACGGTCTGCTGCCAGCGACTCCTGGTATTCGAGGTCTTGCTGTTCACGCAAAATCTGCGTCTCGGTCCGCTGCTGGCGGATGTGGCGCGCTGTGGTCAAAATCTGGTTGTTGCGATCCACTGCTGCATTCAGCTTTTCGATAATCTCGTCCGCCGGCAAGTTGGCTAGTAGAATCCCTCAATGAGTGCACAAGAACGCCTCAAATACTCAAATAAGATAACTCACCTGTGATCTTCTCCACCACGTTGACCCCTCTGGACACACAAGACAGTAGAGCTAGGAACGGGAAGGTGGCGCATCCGAGGGATAAACTCACGCCAAAACCCTCCGCATGCTGTACGCAGCCCGCCCACGACACGATGCAGTCGCTGTAGCCTCCCGATGCGCCATATGCAAGATGAAGGCGGCTGTGTGGCTTCTGCTTGTTTACCAGCGATTACCGCAGTGTTTTTGTCTGCTAACGAGGTCGTGCCAATGACTTGTGTCGATGTGAACCACTGTGGTTCATTACTTCAGGGACTCCACGGCCCACCACGTCAGTCAAATCAACACGCTTATCAGTGCACCGTTTCGCTGCTAGCTCCAAAAAGTGTAGGTTTCTTTTACCGGTATTTTAAAATCTTCACACTTGATTCAAATATTAATACCGGCACATGTTCTTGTACATGTTCTAATAGTATTACATGTATTAATACTACTTTAGAAGTAGTACTTCGAAGTACGAAGCAAGAAAGAATGCTGTTGAAGGACACGGTAGGGCTCAGCCTGAGGCAATGGTAGCAGGCGTGAGCTGTGGCGTTGGGCGTAGTGGAAATCGAAGGTGAGGCTGCGATGCGGTGGCCGGAGGTTCTGTTGCCTGAGTAGAAGCTTCATGTATCGTCATTGGCGCCAAGGGTTCCAGAATAAGTTATTGGAGGTGAAGTCATGGTAGCTGAGATGTCTCCACCGGGGCAGAAGATCAGGTCGATGATAGCGGTGTCAGAGCACGAATGCGTCTTGGTGCCGTCGCTATGAATGCTGATATGCATCGGCACAGCCGTCTGCTCATACAGGTGACGGGGGTGCATCCCCGCGTGTGAGATCTGCATAATCGGTGTTGAAACCGATGCCTCCTGTGACGGGCCTTGCCAAGCTTCTAGTGACCTCCCATTGGTCTGGGCCAGTTGTTGAATCCTGTCGGGAATGATACTGGATTGTCGTACTAGGGTGTAACCACTCTGGATGGAAACCTCTCGTCCACCTACAATAATAAGGAATATCGAAGGTACCAGAATATAAAAATACTTTCCCTACCTCCGTATAAAAACAAACGTGTCTTGTGGGCTAGTGAGTCTCAGTCCTGTTGTGCAAA